TGCACTGTTTTCCCTACAGCGGTGGCACCAGTGAGCTTACTTAGCCTCATTTTATACCATATATTCGTGACAAACCTTACCATCTGATTCTACTTCGAATTACTCTATACCCATCCCCATTTTTGTTTGTTGTAACTCTGGTTATCTACTCAATCGCCCAAGGTCATTCATGGGTGATAACCGTTGTCACTTATAGTTCATGTCAGCCGGCTTCATCTTTGATCTAGTCGGACCTCACGCCCATTGACCTAGTTCTTTTGGTTCCCTCAGTTGCGATGACCTTTCAAGTAATAAGCATGCCTCACTGTTTTCACCTTCCTGCCCGTTGTGTTTCTGCCTGCCGCATTCAGGTCGTAACGACCCGACCATGCTTCAATCGGCAAGTTCCTTACAAGCTGGATGTGAACCCATAATTATTTTATTAAGTATTACCTACGGTTTATGACACTCTCCTCCTTTTCGTGGGCCATTCAGTAACCGCAAACCCTCATTCACGCATCATTCTGACTGTAAACGCATGATCGTATCTGACGGTACACCACTAACAAGCTGGGGATATACATTATTAGTAATAAATACAGAGAATTTAAGCGTATTCACCTGCTTAAAACGGTTTGCAGCGAGGCAGGTCATGCATCACAATTTCATTGATGATTAAGCCACTGAGCAAGTGTCGCTGTCCTTCATTCCAACAAACCCTATGGTTCGAATTTTTGGTAGACACTGGAGCTGAAATCAGAATTATACCCGTAACCGCCGCTTCCTGCACACCCATCGCTTCTCTTTGAAGCGGTCGGCCAATCTGATTAGTGCACCCGCATCCACTGTCTTCCTCATGCTTTGTTTTATTCCACATCATACAACGTACCTCACGAGACAAAAGTGACTTGTCTGCATTCAGACTTTGCTTAAGAGGGCAAATACACGTTGCAGCGTCACACATTGTACCCTAATTGATGTGCTCTATACGAGTTCAGAAGTAAACCTATTATTGTCACTAACATTATTTGAAAAACAGCTCAGGTTACTCCAGAAAATTGATAGCCAGTGGCCAGTGACCAGCTTACAGCATAGCAAAGTAGGACAACCGGCCTTTTTCGTAAATCACTAGAAACAGAATCACCACCACATGAACGGAAACCCTGAGCCATCAAACCGGTCTACAGAAAAAGGATCAGAGTGGATCAAAATTGGGACATAAACCTAAAGAGTGACATGAAATTAAACTATTCAAGTGTTCATTGCGCTTTTCCGCAATGGGTGCCGCTACACTTACGTTGGTTGTCAATGTACGGAAACCATCTGATGAACTGTTGTCATTCATATCAAATGCAATCTACATATGGTTGTAGAGGAACTACTTTTGGACGGAATCGGAGGCTTGTGGCATAATTTCTACAGCGTTTTTTGTCTCGTGGCAAGAATTTTGGTTACGGATGAAGCCCGTGAGGCATCATTCCACCGAAGTGACACTGGAAACAATGTAAGATGTTACTCACCGGCCCACTTCAATTAGGAAATCGTCGGCGCCGCTGCGTTTTGCTGGTCACCGCATCATCAGTCCACCAAAGTTTCGTTCTTGACACCTGGTTGCCCCATTCCATTTCGTTTCATCGCCTAACGCAGACGTGTTCGTCATTAAAAATGAATGGGACGCACAACGTAGCACAGGACCACGTCGTCGCGGGTGCCTTGAAATACAATGGGAGGTTTGAGGGACTAGTCTATCACAACGACTGTAAACTTACGATCATACCAGACGGTATACCACCCACTAGTTGGGAATAAACATTATTATTATTAGGTGATCTGACGTAGACGCCGCAGACAACCTAAAAAGCTATGTGAGTAATACGGGGGAATGATCCGTAGAACGGTGAGTGCCTTTTGTGTCGATTTTTATGGTGCAGTGATGATGACATGTTTGAAGAGAGCCGAGTACCCTAATGAATATTGGCATTCATCTTCACAAAGTTTTGCGGTCCACTCTTACTAAGCACGACGAAGATGCCCAATGCGCCTCCTTCGAATAGCATATGGACGCACTTTTCGTTATTCACAGAAATGTGTTGATCTAGTGAGCACTGACTTGCAGTGTCTAGGTCCATTTGGATGGCGCTGGCGTTGTACCCCCAGGATTTTAAGTCGTCTGTAAAACGTACACATGGACTTGAAGGAAAATCTTAAAGCTCGCTGACGTAGATTGAAAACAGAAATGGTCCCACTCCAACGATGACCGGTGCCAGAGAGGAGTAGCCTTAGTATACTTTCACGCGGAATGTCTTGTTTGGTAGGAACGCTTCGAGTTGGCGTAGAATTTTCCCCTGAATGCCGCGAGACTTGAGCGTGCGGAGCTTCGGGACGTGAGACGTGGTCCAAAGTTTTTGAGTAAACTGAAAATACGGCATCCGATATTGGTTACCCGCCTTTACCTTGGCTCAAAATGTTCATGGATACGGGGATGCGTGTCACACAAGATTGGTTTGGAAGGGAGTGTTGTTGCGTTTGCGATGCCAAGTCGCTTGTACTGATGTGATTTAGAATACCCCGCTTTTGGTTGCGTTCCATCGACTTGCACGGTACGCTAGTAAGTCTGAGAGCCCTGTAACTACCGAGTGATAGGCCGTCGCAAGTTTTGTGGAATAACGTGACAGTGGCTTCCTTCCAAACACAAGCAAGACTGCCACTGTCGAGTGACTGACGAAACACCGGGTAAAGATGCTCTGCCACGCGAGCGATGCTTCCTCCACGAACCTTCGATGGACCACATATGCTGTAACGCTCTAAAGGGGTGTAACTTTTGCAAGAGTTAACGAATATCTGTTTCCACGAAGATCAGGTTGGTTGGATGCCATTCGTAATGAATTTTTGATAAGATTGGAAGTGACGTATGTAAGCGACAAAGCCGAAATGTCGAGTAAATGCTTCGAATTCAAAACGAAATCGACTCCGACGAAAATGTGCTGTACTATATGACAAAACATCAATTTATCAATTAATGTACAACAAACCTTGACAGTTATCGACCGACAGTTAAACTGACGACAGACAAAGAAACGAGTACTAAGCGTGTGAAACCAGTTCGAAAAGTGCACCGAAAATGCGAATTTTAACGGGTGATAATACGGTTCATGCGAAGAACAAAGAACATGTTCATAGTACGTGCAACGCAATGTTTTAATGGATGAGATAGATATGGGGTGATGCGATAATAATAAAATGTGAATGAATAGCAGGCAAGGTTAAGTGGAACATTTGAATTTATGCAATCGACTTCAGGGGGATTGGGTGGGAGAATTTTTTTTCAAGCGTTGCGTGCGATACACCGGCCATCAAATTTCTCCGAGCGATGCGTTGTAAAGTGGTTCGAGGATACGATCAAATAGGGCGCTAGGATATGACAGGTCTAGGGGAGAGAGAACGCTGACCTCTACGGGAATACTCGACACCAGGCGTTTTCCATGGTTTACGCCAAGTTTCCCAATAAGTCTACACTCTACTCATCGCCCTCAAGCAGGCACAAGCGCCTGATGTCACAGCAGGTAGTTCCAGTTGCTGTTTTCACGGAAACCGTTCTCACGATTCCATCTGAGCTAACTTCACATGAAGTAATAATGCCTAATGTGCACCTTTCTTTTTGCACCCCATCACTAACCACCAGCACTACATCACCTTTTTTCGGGTTACGAGTCTTCAGTTACCACTTCTGTCTGATTCGTAATGTGAGTAGTTATTTCTTCACCCACCATTTCCGGAATACGTCAGCCAGATAGTCCGCATGTTTCCATTTTCTAGTGAAATTTTCAGCATAGCTGCCGTGGAAGGGTAGCTCTGTGTTCTCCT